CCTTCTTTTTTGCCAGTTTTGAAGGACAGGTCCATCAGATCCTATGTAACCTTGGGTATTGCATGATTCATAGCGAGTTTGAGTGAGTCGGCTGCTCCGTGCTCAGAGGAAAAAGGGAAATGGAGCCAAACAGTGTTGAATATTGGAACTGCAGCTTAATTTAATACAACTATGTGAATAGTTTCTTCTGAAATTAATGAAAAAATGTGGTTTATTGAAAGTCCCCTGTAAATGGGTTTGGCTGACATTTAAAGTCGTAGGGAAACGGCTGTTCCAACCGTTGCATTTCCGAATTCTCCCTAGTGGTGCCCAACTTTACACGAGTGGATAAAGTGAATGTGATTGGTCGATTATCAAGGGGGTGGGATTGTTGTGGCGGAAGGTTTGCATGAACACTGGGACAGAACTCAATGGTGAAGTAAATGATTCTTATTTCTTATCGTATATTAGCTGCGACATATGAATGAAGATGCTATGACCGATAAAAATTGATTGACAGATGACCGTTGATATATGATTACCAGAATTTCGGTGTGCAAGCTGACGTATAACTAACTGGCCTGCATAAAATAACGGGAACCCCCCACACACACACACACATTTTAACACAGGATTTTTTTTTTTATACAAATTTTCTAAATTTTGGGAAAATACAGTCTGATAAAGAGTACATTTATATACATGTTAAAGCCAGAATGATTTTACATTTAAATATGATTTTCCTCTGGCTTTAAGCACAAATTCTAATATCTGTGCAGTGTGAGGACTATAAATCTGACGTCTGAGATGACAGTGTTGCTGCTGAAGCTACTCAAAAATTGTATTATTTTTGCACCCAGAACCATAGGGAGAAGTTCAACTGTTACAGTTGGTCACCGACATAGCGTACGGGCTGTGTCCAGTTCAGATAGACCAAGTCCTTGGAGGAAGCAGCCTCTGAAATAGAATACACTGAGTGAATTACATTCCAGATTAAACAAATCACCTGGTAGCGGTGGCCAAAGGGGTGGCCAATGATTGGCTAGGGGTGTCCATGTCCCATCTCTAGATCAGCCCCTGGGTGGCACAAAACAATGCAGAAAGCATCTTGTTTGTAAATACAACACTGCATCTTCAACAATTTTAGAGAATGTTTTGAGGACCTATCTTGTCTCAGGAGAGTTTAATTACCCAAGTATTGTTCCAGCTTTTGGACTGAAATTAACCACAGTGGGAGTCAGAGTGAAAACATGAAAAATGGTGGTACCCGGTCAGAATAGTCCACAATGCAAAAAACAAAAAAAATGATATATATATATATATATATATATATATATATATATATATATATATATATATATATATATATATATATATATATATATAAAAAATTAAGAGTGCATTTAGAACTAATACAAGAAATGACTTAACAATGTAAAGGTTACAGAGAAGACTCCATGAACTGGCAAAATAAATGTATTGAAGGTGTATAAAGGTAATATACAGTAGGTAGTAAAAACACAGAATTTCAAAAAATTGATATTATTCTAATTATCAGCCATAGTGATTGTAGTGTGAATATCTTGTGGTGTGGCTTCAGAAAATAGTCGATTTGCTGAATTGTTAAAACTATAAATCATCTTCAATACATGTAAACCTTGAATAAAAAGAGTTTTGTGAAAGCCTTTGGAGAAATGCATTAAGTGTCCTAGACAAAGACTCAATGTCTAGACATGGATCTGAAGGATTTGCTGTGGCATCATCTTAAACAGACTGTTTGTTTAAAAAAAAAAAAAAAACCTACAGCACGGCTGTTTTCAACAATTCTGTAAAACAGAATGGACCAAAAGTGATTCACAGGGTCATAATAACTGTTTACCTTTTATTTTAAGCAGTTGTTGACAGCTGTTGCCGCAGATGGTGGCTATTTTATCAATTATGACCACATCTAAACAGTTTAGCCTTATTGATACCCACAATCTATTTATATTTAAGAAATACAATTTAACCCAAACATCTGCCTTTGACTGATCATTATTAGGTTAAAGCACCCATTACTCACTGTGGGTTTGTTTTGATTTTCTTTGTTAAATAATCCTTTATTTTTTAAGCCGCATTCTGATTTTACTCAGATTGCCTTCATCTAATTTCATCTAATATTAGGATACTGTGTTTAACAAAAACTGCGACATAAGAACAAACAAGTAGAAATTATTATTTTTTTCACTTCATTGTATGTTTGTACTGTTTTATCCAAAACTACTGCTTGGCTTTATTGTGAAATCAGTCTAAATAATGGAATTAAGAGTTTAAAATTGTATCACTGTCATCGATTTACTTTTATTAGAAACAAGACATTTGCTAAGGGCACAGCATGCAGAAATACAAAAAAATGTAAGGAATCATTGAAATAAATTGATGTAACCATGACTGAAAAGTAATCACTGTATTAAAACAGGGGGGATTATTTTCTTCAAAATAATAAAATGTATTAGGAAACAACAGTCTTCATCCTTAGGCTGTATGACTATTTATATTTTGTCAGAACTTTCCCGGTGTGCTGGTGCCACAGTGATGAGACAGGCTGTGCGTAATCCGGGCTGACACTAGCCCACATCTTGTTTTCCTAACTGCATCAGACGCACACACAAAGACCCACTATCAGCAGGGGCATACAGGGAACAAAACAAATTACAGTGTAAAGAGAAAGAGACAAACAAATGGAAAGTGGGTTACCCAGGCGCTGGGGAGAGGAAGTTTTTTTTAAAGATTTGATTTAGAACAATCCATTAACAAAGCTACATTATTCATTAGGGTCAAGGAAAGCTGCAGTGTGAATCAATTTACCTTATTTTATAAAATGACTTACAATTTACAGTGGAAGAAATTTAACAAAAATAAATCTGGTCAGCAACATAGCTTAAAAATCACCAATTTGTTTGAGATTTTATGCAGTTCTTTTTAGTATGTTTTTATCTTTCACTACTTCAACATAACTCTGCAGAAGACAAATACTGCAATTTCAGACATGTCCGTCAAATCTGATGTGTTAGAAGCTTGTTTTTTGGGGCTAAAAATTGGTTTTTTCATTGTACGAATGCCTAAGTTGTCTATTTGTGTCGTCCCATTTTATAACAATAAGCCAGCAGAAATGAGGCAGAGATGTAGATGGAAAGTAAGGCAAAGAACCTTTAGAAAAACTAAATTATTAATCCCACTTGATTTTTCACATGGGCTGCTCAGTGGAACAGTGGGTATCATTTCTGTCTTGCAGAAAGAAGGTTGATTCCTGGCCCTGGGTCTTTCTGCATGGAGTTTGAAGGTTCTCCCTGAGCAGGTGTGGATTCTCTCTGGGTATACTGGCTTTCCCCCACAGTCCAAAAACATGACATTTAGGTTCATTGGCTTCTGTGAGTGTGTGCATGAATGTTTTTTTTGTCCAGTTTGTCCCTGTGATGGACTGGCGACCTGTCCAGGGTGGACCCTGCCTCTCGCCCGTAGACAGCTGCAGATAGGCACCAGGAGCCCTCGCAAACCCCAGCTGGGATAAAGTGTGATGGAAAATGGATGGATGGATTTTCACATTTTGCATACAAGTCTAAATATGTTTCTTTGCAATTGTTGCTATGGTTTCTTTGCAACATTGTGCAAGGAAAATTATGCAGAGTTGCATATTACTACATATGTAGGGACATTAAGATTTGCTGCTTTAGGTCCTGTTTCTGGATGGACTTTTGATTTCCCCCCCTCTACACACACACAACCCTATTAGTCTATGGAAGACCAAAACTGTCATAATTAATGATAAATGCCAAAGTAGAATAAACTTAATAAGCATGATTAATTGGATAGTTTATTTAGTAATTTCCTTATTTATTTTTGTAGTCATTTGTGTAAACATTTATTCATTTTTTATCATTCATTTATTCATTCATTCTTTTATTCATTCATTCATTTTTACTTTTTTGCATGCATGTCTGCCTCATTATGCAAATGGGGAGGGGAGGGGTCCTCCGGCTTCAATTTCTACCAAAGGATTTCTTATATTACTGCATCACTCAACTCTCTATCACTTTCTCTTCAATGTTTTTTTTTTTTTATATATTACTAAGGATGAGTTTCCCAGCCAGGGCGCTGGGGCGCTGCCATTTTTGTTGGATTCTGCTAATAACTTCTGGGAACATCTTGGAGAGCGCTCTGTGGCACGCAAAAGTGGGAGTTGTCTACACCTACATCAGCTGCCCCCTAACCCACCTAAAAATAGAATAGAATAGAAAATCCCTTTATTGTCCCACAATGGGGAAATTGTGGTGTTACAGCAGCACTACAGCAGAGAATGTTCACACACTTTTGGACCTTAAAAGTTTATTTAAAAAAGTAACAAAAACAAATGGCAGATAACAAAATAAGTGATAAGTGAAGTTTTAAAACCAGTCTTCCCTGCAGCAGGAGGTTATTACAAAATGAGGAGCAGTTCCACCTCCTTACCACCTATTAAAGGGAACCCATTTTTGTGATGACTTTAATCAGCCTTTTTGGCTGACTTCTCTGAATCATGTAAAAAAGTGAACCAGCGCACCTCTATGTATGTGCTCTTCTCTGAGCAAGAGAGAGTGCTAAGAATGAATAGAGGGATTTTTTTTTTATTATTGCATTTGGGTGACAGGTTGAACACTGTGGTGACAGGACAGCAGCTGCATGAATGCTTGACAGGCCAGGTTCAGCTATACAGGCGCAGCTCACAGTCTCCACCTCTCCATCCTCCTTAACGACCACACCAGTGTTTTGGCACACTGCAAACATTTTCAGTGTGAATTTACAATAAAAAAATGACTCATTCAGACACTTCTACGATCATGTACACTAAATGCCCTGTTTGT